ATGCATAATCATAGTAGATATAGAGCATTTAGTAAGCCAGTGAGTAATTTTAACACTCGCTTGAATGTGACTGTAAGAATAATACTGACATAACTTCCATTTTGTATGAAAAGGCGGGTTGAAGAGATTCGTAAGTCGGCCGCACTGGAGGCCGAAGGAGGGTTTCCTTGGGTTTGTGATCGTTCGATTGTGACCTCGGCTCATCGTCCTGTAACCCAGAAGAATCCGTACTGAGCTTTCGTCTGTCGTGCGGAAGACATTGTCAGAGCCAGAAACGATGATTTACGAGCAATTCCCAAAAACACAAGACCAATCCAATAGTCACAAGTGCAAGGAAACCCTACTTCAGTATCCGGTAAGGCCAATTTACGAATCCCTTTTCAACCATAAAAAAGGTATGTCATTATCAATCTACTAGGGAATTCTACAAAACCCACCTTTTCTTCATATGTAAGAACGATAGCCTGCTCTGATGATGTCCAGCATGTTTTCAGGGTACAGGGGACAGTTTCAACAAGAATGCAGCAGTAAAGGCAATCAACAACTGATCAAGAGGGATCTGCCGTAGCCTTCTGGCAAGATTTGTCTTCAAATTTCTACATCAAACACTTTCATTCGAAATGGAAGTGAGCTTAATAATTAAAAGACGAGTGAAAGCCAAGTTACCGGACAAACTTAAGGCACCAGTAGGCAATTGACTATTTGGTTTTTCGCCAAGCATAATCAGCTCAGGTAATGCATTTCAGGACATAATTTCGTGCATACATGCAAGCTTACTGAGGGAGTGTAATACATCCAAGAGAGGGCAATTATGAAAGAGGGCTCCTTAGTCTTTGACTGGGGCTAAGCCTGTGGGCTGCATCCATGACGATTTGTCCACCGGCGCACCTGTACATGCATATCAAGGCCCACATATACACAGAAGACCAGAATGGAAGGTTTCAGACACGAGACAACGCCACAACAGATCCAAGGCCATCTTCCAACATCCACCAGAGCGACAAGGAGCATAAATCAAGGCGGACTCTGGTCGGGAATGACTCAAGGTCAAAACATTCCGCCTTGTCGTTTACGCCATACAACTGGTATGATAAGAAATAGTTATAACTCGTTTATGTGAAGAAAAGTTGGGTTTCGAGAAATCTCTTATTTCATAATTGTTGAGCTTACTTCCATTTCGAGTAAAAGTGTTGGGTAAAGAGATTCGAAGGTCGGTTCCACCAGAAGACGACGGCGGATTCTTCTTGACCAGCTGTCGATTGGCTTTACTGGAACATTAATGCTGACGCTGTTTCCGAGGCAATCTCCTTCGATTCCGGTGAAAAGGTGCTACGCTTT